GAGGCTGAGGCAGGAGAATTGCTTGAACCCAGGAGGTGGAGGTTGCAGTGAGCTGAGATTGCGCCACTGCACTCCAGCCTGGGTGACAAGAGTGAGACTCCATCTCAAAATATATATATAAGTAAACCACAGCAATTACATATAGTGACTTGAGGAAGAAATTACTCTCTTCAATGGCTACAGAGTTCACTGCATTTTTGACAAAAACCGTAGATGACAAAACCCCAACACACCTTTCATCAGAGGACACATTCTCATTTTATACATAATCAAGAAAGGAAGAAAACACTGCCAATTAAACTATAATATGCCACTAACTGTCAGATACACCCTAATAGCAAAGATGTTAAAATGGGGGGGAAGTGTATCTTCGACTCAATGAAATAATGTTAGAAATAATCAGTATTGACTTTACTCTTTGAATTTGAGTTTGGAAGTTATAACAATATATTATTCAGGTGCTTCATGCCTTGTAGGCTGGATTCAATGCCATTATAAATCCAAACAGAAAAAAAAGCAAGAAAATAAGTCAAGAATATGAGAGAGTATTTTCAAACTTAACACAACTCTTTCATGAGAGCATTAAGACTACATTCACAGAGTAAACTGGCAACTCAAAACTCAAATTGTATTGCCTGTATGCACAACAGGTGAATGTATAAATCACTTCCCCAGGGTCTGCTGCTATGGTTTAAATGTCCCCACCAAAACTCATATCGACATTTAATTGCCAATGTAGTAGTACAGGGAGGTGGGAACTTTAAGAGGATATTAGGCATTAACGGATTAATGCCATTATTGCTGGAGTGGGTTAGTTATTGTGTGAGTAGGCTCCTGATAAAAAGACAGCTTCAATCCCCATTCTCTGTCTCGCATGCTCACTTCTGCCTTCTGCCTTTTGCTTTGGGATAACTCTTGCCAGATGCTGGCGCCATGCTCTTGGACTTCCTAGACTCGAGAACTGTGAGCACAATACACTTGGATTGTTTATAAATTACCCTATCTGTGGTATTCTGTTATAGCAGCAGGAAATGGCCTACAACAGCTATTTAATCAGTGAGCGTTCAGAGCATTTGGTACTCCACTCAGTGCACACATTGTGAAGTTTAACCACAGCTTTACATTTTTACAGCACTCTGGATAAAAATTCAACCAAATAACAAAATATAGTACCCTGTTAACATGTGCCAAATTCAAAATCCTGATCCTCCTCCTGTCCAGTGAAGACTGGTGCAGATACAGACAGGAGGGGCAAGGACAGAAGAGAAAGCCCATGTAGTGACTACTTGGTGCCAGGCGTGGGGCTAAGGACTTCCCACACATGACTGTACGTAATCATCCCAACAACCTCCCGAGGCAGGCGCGACTCCTTGCCCAGATGAGGAGGTGCCTGAGCCTGAGTAACTTGCTTATGATGACCCGGCTAATGAGTGGTAGAGCAGAGGTTGGAAAGCCAGTTTATTTTACCCCAAATCTCATACTTTTCCCACAGGATCAGTAGACCTATCTGGTCCAAAGCTGTACGTAAGTACTGTGTTCAAGACATTTTTCGTCAGGCCCAGATGTAAACAACCTGAATTTGCTTATCTACCTTGTCCCTCCAAAGTCATATTCAGTTTTCAGGACTCATGGCAAGCAGTGAGGTGAGGTAAAGAGTTGGGAATTTGAGAAAAGGGAAAACGGCAGAAAAGAGCTCCAGAGATGATGAACCAAGCAGTTCTAACTTGTCTAGAACTCTTCACTAGAAGCAAAAAGTAGGCCAATGCCTAAGGTGAGCAAAAGACCTCATGAGCTCAAGGCTGACATAAAGTTACGATACTGAAAATGTGTATAGAAATTAAAGCTTCCCTCATCTACTGAGATCATTCCCTAGAATTGAAGGCCATGGCCGGGATCTGGCCCACCTCTTACCAACCTGGTTGTGGCTATGACAGTCCAAGAGGTCGTTGCTGATGTAGGCCTGCAGAATGGTCTCCCTCTGCTCTCCGGGATGGGATGTGGTCAAGCGCTGGAGCAAGGAGAAACAAAAGCAGCGAGACCTAAGTCTTACCATGGAGAAAAGTTTCGCAGAGCAGGCGTGTTTTAAATGGCAGTATCAGTAACTACACATTTAAGCAAACAAAATAAGTAATATTCAGCTGGGGAGGTGGTGGCAAGTTAACCGGCCAACCAAAACAAGAAATTTTGATGTGGGCCGGGTGCAGCGGCTCACGCCTGTAATCCCAGCACTTTGGGAGGCCAAGGCAGGCGGATCAAAAGGTCAGGAGATCGAGACCGTCCTGGCTAACATGAGGAAACCCCGTCTCTAGTAAAAATACAAAAAAAATTAGCTGGGTGTGGTGGCAGGCGCCTGTAATCCCAGCTACTCGGGAGGCTGCGGCAGGAGAATGACGTGAACCCACGAGGCAGAGCTTGCAGTGAGCCAAGATCACGCCACTGCACTCCAGCCTGTGTGACAGAGTGAAACTCTGTCTCAAAAAAAAAAAAAAAGAACCTATCATGTGCTTCCTAATGGGTGACACAGGGAGCCAATTTATACACGTGAACTCTTCAGAGAAGTGAGGCAGCAAAATGCTCAGACTGCAAGTGTGCAGATAGGAAAGAGCTCATCCATGCCCAGAGAAGCATTTCTTGTATAAAGGGGCTCAGAAGCTGGCCCCTGCAGGAAAGGCTGCCTATTAACCAGCACAGGGGAGCGTGAGTATGGTGGGGGACAGGGAAGTGAGGTCTAGCTCAGGGAAGTACAATACAGGGCACAGTGGCGTGGGCTCAGTGGGAGGGGCCCAGGGCTCACTGTAGAGCACTCTGAATGCATGCTCCGCCAACAAATTCACTCTATCCTATCCTATAGGGAATGACAGAGTGATACAGTGCATGTGCCTATGCGTGTGTGTGCATGTGTGCATATGTGCATGTATGAGTGTAGAGGTAGCTGGCTAGAATTTTGTAGATTTTAGAAAGCCATAAGTCTGTCATGTTGCTACAAGTAAAAATTTATGCAATGTCCACAGAGCTAGTATAATGGCTGTGTGTATGTGTGCACATGGGTGTGTACAGGTGTGAGGTGGGATACGAAAAAGCACGTAACAGAGTAAGCAAATATCCTTGTTCTTTCAGGAAAATCCTACTAGATAAAAATCCTGAGGCTGTAAGCCCTGCTTCTAGCCAAAGAGAAGCTGGATGTGCAAGGAATGTGCTAGTTCTTAGCATGGGCAAGAGCACAGGCCAGAGCATCAGACGCCCTGGGCTGGAAGGAGAGCCGGGAAGGCCTCCAGAGCAGGCACTGCCAACAGACGTGACCATCATGGCCAGGGTGTGCCTGGAATGTCACACTGAGGTGCTGCTACCCTTCTGTTGAATTCACTGAGGTTGAAGCAGGGGCAAGAAGCCGGGTGGGGGCACTGGAGAGGGACACAGACAAAAACATTAGAAACCTGTTCACCTTTCCTGGTTGTTTTGTGAGTATGTCACTCTCTCAGCAAAGGAATATCCTGTCTCAGCAAGAGGCTCAGGAGTAGCACGGACTGAGAGGAAGTGCAGTGTCAGTAAACCAAGAGCCATATAAAAGATGAGTTTGAGAGTTTGAGCAGAGAGAGACAAATGGCCAGGGAGGAGACGGCCACTGTGGATGACTCATGCTGCCCCACCCACTCCAGTCCTGACCCAAACAAAACCAGAGCAGATATCACTGCTTGTCCATAGGACTCTTCCTGTGGATCCTGGATACGTCGTCCGAGTCCTCAAGACGTACTTCAGGAAGCACTATCATAGAAGCATGCAAGTGAGAACTGTTTCTATCCACAGATGGGAAATTGCTAAGGATCCTTATGCCAAGATACCTTGAAATTCTGGGGTCCATGAAGGTGTCTGATGCTAATGAATTAGAATGAACTGTTCAGTTAAAGAACTGCTGGCTCAATCAATGTTGGCTTGAGTCAGCAGTTCTCACAGTGTGGTTCAGAGAACCCGGAGAGGTCCCCCAAACCCTTTAGGGGGTCTGCAAGGTCACAATTTTCATAATACTAAGATATGACAATGCCTTTTTTGTGATCAGTCTCTGGGAGGCTATATGAAGTGTGACACTGACAATCAAACACAAAGCAGATATAAGAATCCACCTGTCTTCCATCAAGCCAGACATTAAAGACAACTGCAGAACAATGCTGCTTTTCTCACAATTCTGTTGTTGTTTGGAAAGTAGTATTCATCACAAAAAATGTTATTATGTTAACATGTCATTCATTATTGCTCATTTTAAATGAATTAATAAACATATACTTCAAATCTTTAGCGTTTTGTTTTCGTTTTTTGGTTTTTTTGAGATGGGGTCTCACTGTGTCGCCCAGGCTGGAGTGAAGTGGTGTGATCTTGGCTCACCGGAACCTCTGCCTTCCGGGTTCAAGCAATTCTCCTGCCTCAGTCTCCTGAGTAGCTGGGACTACAGGCACCTGCCACCATGCCTGGCTAATTTTTTGTATTTTTAGTAGAGATGGGGTTTTGCCATGTTGCCGAGGATGGTCTTGAACTCCTGACCTCAGGTGATCTACCTGCCTCGGCCTCCCAGTATGCTGGGATTACAGGCTTGAGCCACCATGCCCAGGTAAATCCTCTCAGTTTTAATTTCAAATGCTGTAAATATTGGTAGACAAAATTCACATAAACGAAAGCTCTCTGAGGTCCTCAGTAATTTTTGAGAGTGGAAAGGGGTCTGACACTAAAAAGCTTGAGAACCAATTGCTGACTTCAACTGCACTCAATCTGAACACTAGGGAGAAAAGTAACGATGGGGACCAGGCCACTTCCTTTAGGCCTTGTGAACAGGAGGTCTTTCCTTGGCGCCTCTCCAGGGTGACCACACGGCAGTGCCTGAATACAGAACCTCTGTGGGACTGTGATCAACCCTGACTCCATGCGCTCACACGCGGCCCCCACAAGTAGAGTGGGGCTCACGGCCAGGAAACGGCTACAAGCAGGTGCAGTCTCTCAGGCCTTGCAATTCATTTACCTAACTCATTACATCACAATTGCCATAATATAGGAGTTTCTCAAAGGAGGCCCAGGCTATCTTCAGAAGTGGCTTTCGACTTCCGCTTTTGGTGTCAGCAGACAGCGGAGAAGAACGATTTCTGGAAGATGGGTTAAAAGATACAAGCAAGGTAGCCAGCCAAGAAACCAGCACTGGTTTGGTTTTGTTTTCTAACTTTAAGACAAAGGTACCTACCCAGCGTAGAGCCTGCAACAAGAAGGCTTTCAAGCGGTCACTCCCCAAAATCAAATCCTTCTTCAGTTTCTCATAATCCAAGGAGGGCAGTAATGGGACATCCTTCAATTTCCTACTCAGCAACACAAGTTCAAAGAGAAAGAAAAGGGCAAAAGGGCATGTTCGTTACACCTCTTGAGCATCATGACACCCGAGCTAGAGCCTGCTGTTCCCCTGGGCTCCCAGTATGACCTCCTGGCTTCCACTTGGAGGGTGGGCTGGGTTCTGGGCTCCTACCTCAGCTTCAACCAGCTCAGCTCTGCCTGTTCTGTTGGATGGACTTAGGTTCTGTTTAACATTTTTCCTAAAACAAGGAGTCTTTGTCTGAACAGATTTAGAAACCCCTACATTCACCTTCAGCCAGACCTCCCTAGGATGGGGAGGAAATCACCTTGGGGGCATCTTGACTTTCCACTGAAGTTCTGTTTAGAATTCTGGACATAGTTCAAAGACAATTAGCATCACCAGGCCCCAAGAGTTCTACCTAAACACCTGAAGCCAGTGTTCCTCTCAAGCCTGAGCGACTGGACTGGGGGAATATGAATGACAGTTAGAAAACAAGTGTGAAGAGTAAGTAGGCAGAGGCCAGGCATGTTGGCTCACGCCTGTAATCCCAGCACTTTGGGAGGCCTAGGCAGGTGGATCACCTAAGGTCAGGAGTTCGAGACCAGCCTGGCCAACATGGTAAAACCCCATCTCTACTAAAAACACAAAATTAGTCAGGCACAGTGACACATGCCTGTAGTCCCAGCTACTCGGGAGGCTGAGACAGAAGAATCACTTGAACCCAGGAGGTGGAGGCTGCAGTGAGCCGAGATTGCACCACTGCACTCCAGCCTAGGCAAGACACAGCAAGACTCTGTCTCAAAAAAAAAAGAAAAAAAAGAAAAAAAGAGTAATTAGGTGGGTGGCTCAGCCCTCCGAGGAGGTAGAATGCATGGTCAGCAAGCAGCATGGGAACATAGGCAGGAGATGGGTTGTAGGACAATTTGCAGACCCTCCTCAGGGAGACTGCAAAGACCTCTGGGGAGCCAGGTTTCAGTGAGGAGAGACCTCAGATTTGAGATCCACACAGCTCAGACTGCCCCGCCACTCACCTTCGGTCAGCCAGAAACCAAAGGAATCACCTCAGCCTCTTTGTTGCTAAAACAAGTGTCTTCACGCTTTGTTCTTTGTTGTTTTATTGTAGAAAAGGAGATTAGAGGGCATGGAAAAACTGGTGAAACTAAATGAGCTTTGCAGTCTAGTTTACAGTACTTTATCAACGATGGTTTCCTCATTTTGGTGTAATACTACAGTATTACGCCAAATGCTAAGTGTTGTATATGTATTAACTCATTTTGATCCTCACAACAATCCTAAAATAGAATTACTATGATTCTCCTCATTTTATAAGTGAGGAACTGAGGCACAAAGAAATTATATAAGTAATCCTCGGTCCCAGGGCGGGTAGCAGGAGTGGGCTTTTAACCCTAGCAGTCTGTGCAGTGATACTGCTGCCAAAGTGGTAGGAGAGAATAAAGTGTGGGGTCAAGGTCAGACTCAGGCAGGGCTGAGGGAGGAGGAATGCTGTGGGCATCTCAGGTGTGTGAGGAATCACACAGCACCCCTATCTTCCCCTTCTCCCCCGCAAAGCTGGCTCAGAGGGTCCCAGAAGCCACCCTGGTCCTCATGTCCAAGTCAAAGGTTCTCAACTCCCTTGCCACCACAGCATCAGACACTCGCAAGGGGGACAGCCCAACTCATCAGGACACGAGTGCTCAGGTATACACAGGGCTGCCCATGGCCCTGATCACAGTGTGAACCAGCAGACAACACAAATTCAGACAGTGCAACACTCTGTGGATTGCACTATGATAGTAGATAGTAGATTACATTTATTTCTATACAATACCATATGAACAATTCTACAGTTGTTTTCGTTTGAGGCTTCCTTACCAAAAGAATAGAACTAACAATATAAGATGGCCGGGCACGGTGGCTCACACCTATAATCCCAGCACTTTGGGAGGTCAAAGGGGGTGGATCACTTGTGGTTGGGTGTTCGAGACCAGCCTGACCAATATGGAGAAACCCTGTCTCTATTGAAAATACAAAATTAGCCGGGCGTGGTGGCATATGCTTGTAATCGGGAGGCTGAGGCAGGACAATCGCTGGAACCCAGGGGGCGGAGGTTGCAGTGAGCTGAGATTGCGCCACCGCACTCCAGCCTGGGCAACAAGAACGAAACTCCGTCTCAAAAGAAAAAACAAAACACACACATGCAATAAAAGATAATTCTAGTTTAACAACATTACTTATAAGTACTCGTATTTCCTTTAATATTCACATGTAGCTCTAGCTCAAAGGCGTTCCTCTAAGCTAGGCTGCTGAGTGTTTATTAAAGACACTTTGAATTCCCGTTTTACACATTGCTGTTCTCCTTAATAAAAATTCCTAAGAGTAGTTACTTACACGGGTGCCAAGGAGGCTCGTAACATGGTGGATGCCTGGGGGGAAGAGGACAGAAGAAAACAGATGGTGTTAAACACTGATAGCAACGCACGGATCCCAAATCACCCTAATAGCATGTAATCAACAGATGTGCAAGTTAGGTTTTTTTTGGGGTTTTTTTTGTTATTTTGGTTTTTTTGAGACGGAGTCTTGCTCTGCCGCCCAGGCTAGAGTGCAGTGGCCCAATCTCGGCTCACTGCAAGCTCCGCCTCCCGAGTAGCTGGGATTATAGGCACCTGCCACCA